AACTCTACAGACACAGGTTTTGTGGACTCCACTCCCACCCCAAACACTGGGATTACAAGCCCCAGCATCACCTCAGGGAGGGCTGCTAGGACCCAACAGAGGGGTTAAACAACCGTTTTGTTTGGATATAAAACCAGACATTTTGGCCTTTGGGGGATCTCGGCCTCACGGCATGTGGCTGGCCTCTTGGCTTTTTGCAGGCTTTGAGGGTTTGCTATTGAGGTTCCAAGTCAGCAGAACTGGTAGCATGCATTTACTCTTTTCCCCTGAGTTATTCAATTAAACCCATTATTAGCCTTTTTGTGTGTGCTGGGCAATAGTCAGGCAACCCAATTCACACGGGAGGTTGCCCTGTAACAATACAATCATCAAGACAGCAGAGTGGTGGGGTGGAGAATAATAAAAAATATTTATTGAAGAGAGTCCAGGAAAAGACTTATGTTTAAGGCCAAGTGATAATGATGCTAACAATGCCATGGTAAAAAAAAAGTTTTGTCAACAAATAATACTATTCACAGTTAAATATGTGAAATGAACCCCTGAATCTTGGGCTACACAGCACATCAAAACAAAAAAATTAACCTGAGATCGATTAGTGACCTAAACGTGAAGGTTAAAATGATGAAACTCCTTAAACACAGGAGACTTATTAGCAAATTGAGTCAGTCAACGATTTCTCAGAAAAGATACAAAAAGTTTTAGCATTAAAAAATTGGATAAACGAGGCTTCACAATATAAATGGGTTCATCATAATACCTATTGCCGAAATGAAATATTAAGGCAAAGATTCAAAACACATATCACATATACAGGTTACTTAAGGAACTCCTATATGACAAGACAAAACCAATTTTTTAAAAAAAGACTTGGATAAGGCCCTCCCTGGTGGCCCAAAGGGTTAGGACACAGCACTGCAAACTAGCCACCGCCGCTTCAGTGTGAGTTTGGTCCCTGGCCCAGGAGGTGACCCACATAGCAGGCAGACCTCTCCTGACCCGCCCGCTGCTCCCCTCAGCAGTGTACTTCATTTATCTGCCTGTTCTGCTCCCCACTCTGTCTCTGGTAAATCATCTCGCTGCCCCTGCACCTCTGGCCTGTATCCCAGTTCTGTGTGCATAAATAAAAAAAATCTTAAAAAAAAAAAAAAAAGACTTGGATAGGGACCTCCCTGGTGACCCAACAGGTTGGAGCACAGCACCATGAAGCTACCACAGCCACTGCAGTGCAAGTTCCTTCCCCCGCCAAGGGGGTGACACACAGGGTGTGGCAGACCTCTCCTGACCCACCCACTGCTCCCCTCAGCAGTGTTTTTCAATGCATCTGCCAGTTCTGCTCCCCACTCTCTTTGGTGAATCCTCTCACCCTCTATACCTCTGGTCTGTACCCCAATTCTATATGCATAGATAAATCTTAAAAAAAAAAAGGAAAGACTTGAATAGGTATTTCCCCAAAGGCAAACTATAAAAGACTCATATGCATATGAAAAGATCCTCAACATCACTAGCCATCAGGGAAATGAAAATTAAAACCACAATGACACACCAGAAGAGAACACTAACAAATGTTGTAACATGGTTCAACTTCAGAAAACCATCTGGCAATTTCTTAAACAAAAAGAAATTAATTATATGACTCATCAATTCCACTCCTATACATTTACTCTCAGAAACTGAAAACAGGTCCACAAAACAACTGCACAGAATGCTCGCTACAGTTCGATTCATAATAGCCATAAAATTTAAACACGAACATCCTTCAACAGGAGAATGGTTAAACCAGTGTGGTAAACTCATACAAGGGAACCCTTCCCCACAATCAAAAGTCAAAAAATAACAATGTGTGCATGCAAAGTGGTTGAGTCTCAAAAACAACTTTAAGGAGTGAAAGAATCTAAACAAAATGGAGTGTATGTTGGCTGATCTCATTTTTAGAAGTTCAAGAACAAACAAAACTCTGGATGAAACACAAATCAAAATAGTGGCTGCTTTTGACAAGCAGGAGGTTGATAACTGGAATTTTTTAGGGTGACAGAAAGACTGTTTTGATTGGGTTTCTGGCTAGAGTGGACGTTTTCTAAAACTAAGAGGAGGTCACTGATATCTGTGTATATGACTACAGTATGTAATTACACCTGAATTAAAAAATCCATGATGTGGCCCCTCCCTGGTGGTGCCTTGGGTTAAAGCACAGCACTAAGAAGCTAAAGCCACTTCAGTATGAGTTTGATTCCCAACCAGGGAGCTGACCCACAAGGCACAGCTGACCTCTCCTGACCCGCCCGCTGCTCCCTTCAGCAGTGTCCTTTGTTGATCTGCCTGTTCTGCTTCCCATTCTGTCTCTGGTGAATCCTCTCACCGCTCCTGCACCTCTGGCCTGTACCCCAGTTCTGGATGCATAAATAAATAAATCTTAAAACAAAAACACCATGATGCAATTTTCTATCTACTAAAAATACAGCTGTTGAGTGCAGATATGTTTTGACAAAATGATCACTCTGAATGATAGGTGTTTAAATCTTTAAAAAGCAGTTTAAATATTTGTATCAAGAGTCTTAAAAAATGTTCCTGCTATAAATATATAATAAAATGAAGTTAAAAAGTTCTAGAAGGATGAATGAATTATTATTATTATTAACCTATGAGGCCTCCCTGGTGATGCAAGGAATAAGTCTCAGCACAGTGAAGCTATCTGCAGCCACTGCAGCATGAGTTCAATGCCAGCCAGGGAGCTGACCCACGTAGCTCAGCAGACCTCTCCTGTCTCTCCTGCTGCTCCCCTCAGCAGTGTAATTCAGTCAATCTGCCT